CGGGGGGACCTGCCCCGGCCGGGAACGGCATTGTGCTGTTTTGCTACAGGATAAAAATGGCCTCTCGGCGGATCACACGGGAGACGTTTGATGCTGTGGTGCAGGAGAAAGTTAAAAGGTATCGCATGGAGCGGAGTGACGCTATAGAGGACACGATCCATCATTTTAAAGGTAACGAAAGCCGGGCCTGACGCACCGGGGATGGTACCCGCCGTTCTGGTAACGGCTGTCTTCCGTTCCTTGCCTTCCACTTACATCTATTTGCCTCAAACGTGGAGTTGTGCTGGTGTTTTTCCACATCCATTTTTATTGAAGAGGCTAATAGTTTGGTATGACTGAGGCTATTTCAATGTGGAATGCAAATTCCAGGAAAAAAAAAAAAAAAGGAATTTCAAACAAAGGAATTCTGTTCAGACTGCATCACAGAGTGGGTCCAATTTCAGGGAGGTCTCTGGAGACATCGCTGCAGGATGGAATTCTGTTATGCCTGATAAGTGAAATGAGTGTAGTGGTGTGTTCGAAGCCTTTGGGCCTTTGGATTTCATGTTATTTTTGGAGAAGAAGCTAAAAGCAGGACGTTAATCTCGGGAACGTATACAAAACATGATTGCAAATTCATTTATCTTCTAAAGTTGACATATAAAATGTCTAGAAAAATAACTTGGATTGCATCCATAGGAAACTGAGAATTTTAAAATGAGATCTCTTCTGTTTTCTTAAAGTGGCATAAGTTCTGAAGAAATTACTTGTTTCAAATACTTAAATTGTTCAAATATTCTTTACTTTCTGAACTGAACTACTGGAATTAGGGAATAGGGATTCTTGGATGCTTTGAAGGAAACTGTAGCATGTGACTAATGTTATCTTAGATAATTGTTTATGAGTTTGTAGGAAAGGTGATCTTTTGTTCACCTGTGGAATTCTGACATTCAGTGTGGAAATGGAGTACGTGCTTTTGATATTTTTTTCATCTGAGAAATCTGAGTTGAAGCATTACGAGCACAACATTAGCATCTTCCTAGACTGAGGAAGTTCCGAGCAAGTGGAAGATGGGGTTTATAGCAGAACTTGCATTTCAGCTTTAGTGAGAGTAGAATTTGTAATAAACTGTTCTGTCATGTGTGTTCAGGCATTGTTAAGCATTTCTTGCTTTTTCCTTATTATGAATTATTTAATGTATGTAAGAATGCAAATGGGAATGTCCTAAAGTTGGATATGTGTACCGTTCTTCAGAATGTTTGATGCGTCGACTCTTACAAGTGTCTAAATGTGTTTATTAGGTCTTTTTCTTAATAGTACTTGCAGGGCATTGGTGTATTTCTGTTTTTATCATTACAGCTCATTCGAGGCCAGTCCCAAGACCAAGATACGAAGACAGTTTTCATGATGATGGAAGATTTGCTCATGACAATGCCCAGCACCATCCACATGATGACTGGAGTGAAGACCCTAGGGATGACTATCCAGGACCTTCTTATAGATCTGCTAGTCCTCTCATAAGGAAAGATAACTATTACCATGAACAGTACGGCCACCCGGCGTCTCGTGACCGGGAATTTGGCCGCCCGGCATCTCACGACCGGGAGTATGGGCGCCCAGCCTCGCATGACCGGGAATATGGGCGCCCAGCGTCTCGTGACCGGGAGTATGGGCACCCGGCTTCCCGTGACCGGGAGTATGGGCACCCGGCTTCCCATGAGCGGGAATACGGCCGCCCGGCTTCCCATGACCGGGAGTACGGAGGCCTGGCTTCTCATGACCAGGACTATGGCCCTCCTGACTCTTGGGAATCCACCGGACCACATGAGACTGACTTTAGCTCTTCAGATATTTTAGGAGATTTTAGATCCCCAGGACTCATGGAAGAGGAATATGGCAACATGGAGAATCAGGAGTATGATGTGGACTTTGGAATTCAGTCCGACAGCGAGTTCCGACCGCCGGTACGGAGGGGCAGCCTTGGCAGGGGAAGAGCTCTGCGAGGAAAGCGTATCGCAAGGGGGGTTGTTAAAACTAAAGTGTTCAAAGGAGATCTCAAAGCCCCTCCCCTCAAGAAGTGGAACACTAAAAAACTGCAGCCGGGCCCCGACCAGAAGCCGGCTATGCAACCCGATCAAATGCCAGAAACCGCTGAGCGACCGAACCAGAGGCCGGTGACCGTCCAGCGCCTGAATCAAAAGTTGCCTCCACGGCCTAACCAGAGGCCAACCATGGCAACCCAGAGACCTATTCTCAGGCTCCCAAAGCCGGCGCATGTTTTCAGAAATCTCAATTTTGACCTTGTGGACAAATCGGACATTTTTTCAACCTTTGGAATAGAAATTATCAAATGGGCTGGGTTTCATGCAATAAAAAACGACGCAGAATTTTCGCGGCTCTTTGGGGCTCTCTTTGAGCTAGAGACAGAAACCTGTGCAAAAATGCTTGCGTCGTTCAAATGCTCCTTAAAGCCAGAACACAGAGATTATTGTTTCTTTACTATCAAGAGTTTACAACATGCTGCTCTGAAAACTCCCAAAGTGGACAATGAGTTTTTAAATATGCTCTTGGACAAGGGTGCTGTGAAGACAAAGAATTGCTTCTTTGAAATCATAAAACCTTTTGATAAATACATAATGAGGCTACAGGACCGCCTCCTAAAAGGGGTTACGCCGCTGCTTATGGCCTGCAACGCTTACGAATTAAGCATTAAGACGAGCGGGTTCGGTAACCCCAGAGAAATGGCAAGTGCTTTTGAGACCACTGTTTCTCTTTGTCGTAAGTCCTTAGCACTTCTGGGTCAGACCTTCGCGCTAGCGTCTGTTTTCAGACAGGAGAAAATCCTTGAAGCCGTAGGGCTCCAGGAAATGGCTCCAGCACCAACACTGTTCCCAAACTTTGATGATTCGACCTTGTTTGGAAGAGAGTACATTGAAAACTTGAAGGCTTGGTTGGAGAAAAGTGGATATCCAATTCAGATGAAAAAAACCGAACCAGAGGCCGCAGCACAGCTTAAAAAACCCTCTCCTGACACAACCGTTAAAAGTGAGTGGAGTGCTGTAAGATTCTTTGCGGTATAGAGTTTATTTCTTTGTCACTAGCATTTTTCCTTAATTTTTATGGTTTCGTGAGGTCAGGAATTCCTAAGTCTGGGAATTCCCTGTAAATCCTTAGCAGTGCTGAGGCAGGTAGTCAATACGATGTTGTAGCGGTCGCTTTCGGCTCTGTGGATGAAAGTGTGTCTCCTTCCTCCCCTCTCCTGCACATGCCTATACTTCAAATCTAGGATTTTCACCTCGTGCCCTTGGCTGCTTCGGCTGCCCTGCCCTCCAGCTCCACAGCCTCCGGGCAGGGAGGCCGGGACCTGGCCGTAACCAGCTACACCACGGAGTGAGTATTCGCATCGGAGCAAAGTCAGAGGTGTTGCCATTGGGGCTTTTATCAGACGCAGGCGTATTTCTTTGAAGTTGTTTGTGCACTACCACCATCTGTAGGAATGCTGGCTCCTCTCCTGTACTAGCCCGTCTAGTTCATCCTCTCGGAGGCATTCTTACTCGTTGCTGTGCTCGTCTGGTTTTCCCAGTTGAACTTCAGGTCCTTTGGCAAGGAGGTCTTGCAGCACTGACACCGAATGGCAAATAATTTGGGACTCAGCTCTTCAGAGTGGTGTTCAAATGCACTTCTTTTGCACAAAATCCTTTTGGTGCGATAAGTAATTGCCTTTTGAAGGGTGGCTTAACTTGCCCAGGATGCACAGGATGAGTTTCTTAAACCACAGTGCTTCTCACACTGAACTGTTCTAGAATCTAAGTTAAATGGAGAAAACAGTCAGGAAATTTCTGAGGTTCCCTTAATTTGTTCTAATATTAAGTGCAGCCTTTTCTGGTATTAACGTGTTGAAAAATTGCAAATGCCAGTGTGTCAAAGAGTGAAAAAAAGACGGCATATTGGTATTCTGTTGGTGAGCATAATACAATGACTGCATCTTATTTCTTCCTGCAGCCCCCCAGCAAGCGGATCGGAAAGTTGTAGAGACAATTGAACAGCTAGTGAATAGCATCGTTTCGGGAACCTTGTCTGCCAAAGAAAGAAATGCTCAAAAGAACTGTCCTGAATATTGGTAGGTGTGTTTGAACAGTATGTTGTAGTCCTACTCTCTGATGAAGATATTCGGAATATATTCAATTAAATTCAGTATTTCATTCAATGGGTGTAAGATCAAAGCCTCTTGTATATTTAATCAGACTTTCTGTATATGTTTCCGAAGCTAATTACACTTCCTGATATCCCTGGAAATTGTCCTGTTGCTTCTGTTTTGTCTACTAGATCATGTTGCTTTTGATCTGTCAGCCACGACTGTATGTCAATCCAAATATGAGGCGTTAAAAGCAATTTACTTTTATGAGATGAAAATAGGAAGCGAACGTAGTTAATCTAAACAGGAAGGTAACCGGCTTGGGAATCTGGTGTCCTGCGTGGTGAATAATGGTGGAAAAGGAAAGCTGAGATACTTCCAAGGGGAATGCTGTTTTAATGGGACAGTATCTCTTCATGTGTGAATTGCAGCGTAGCTGATGAATTACTGGCCAAATGATTTATGTCAAAACCCTCCATCATTTATTTGCCTGGTGTCCTTACTGCTTTAGAAGGGGAGTTGGCTGTTCCTTTGAGAAAAACCTGTGCAGGCTGATGTTATTGTGGCAACTCGTGTATACCCCTGGGAAGAAAGAGCAATTGCTGCTGAGTTTCTGATCTGAGAATTTGAGATTAGTTGTGCTTTCAGCTTGGGCTTTTATTTTATTTATATGGTTTTATTTAGGTTCTTGTCTGATGAAGATAGTCTAGAATACAAGTATTACAGACTGAAGTTGTCAGAGATGCAGAGGCGGACTTCGTCTGGAAAGGAAGCGGGTGGTGAGGGCAGAACACTAGAAGAGTCTGCGACAGAATCAGTCAGGGCCATGTTGTACGCCAGGAAAGTCGCAAGTATTAAGAGAAGGCTGTTTAAGAGGAAAAGGCTTGGAGCTATCGCAGCACATGGTGTTCGAGGAAGGAGGGTGAGGAGAGCAACCATAGGGACACAGACTGTGCTTTCAGCTGGGACAGTGCTGAAGCACCAAGACAAGCGTCTTCAAGGTTCAGCCCAGCCCAAGCCTTCTGTGCCAGAACCCAGCCTGTCTGAGAAGAGCTCGTCCCTCGAGGCAACCTCATCCTCCCAATGTGCCACCAGTTCAGAGCTCGCTCTGCCAGCGGAAGAAAGGGCAGATTCTGAGGATTTCTTAGCGCCACCTGAACTTTTCCCACCGTTGTCCTCTCAGTTTCCTGACGGTAAGTGAGGATTCAAGATTAGATTTTTAAATTGTAAGTTATATGAGAAAAGTGCATAAACAGTTCTGCTAAAAAGTAGATCGTTCTCAACTGTGTCGACCTTTCAGTGGTGCAGATTTTGTGTGGAGCTATGGATAACGAGCGTTCTGTTCCTTGCAGTGGACGCCAAAACAATGGAAACTGCCGAGAAGCTCGCCAAGTTTGTTGCTCAGGTCGGACCAGAAATTGAGCAGTTCAGCATAGACAACAGCGCAGATAACCCAGACCTTTGGTGAGTAACACGTTTATCTGTGTAAATGGGCCGGTAAGAAAAATCAGAATGCATCTAAACAATGACTAAGGAGATCTTTCCTTTTATTGTTGTTGAGATGTGTGTGTTTATGCGATGTGTTTAGAAACAGGATTTTGAGCAATAATCCCCATTGTCCTGCTCAGCACCTCATTAACGGTGAATACCTGCAATACCTAAGAAAGAAAAACACCTCTCCCGAATGCTACAAGCACTGATATGTGTGGGTTTTTTTCCTTTTATATCCTAAGTAATCAGCTTGCATCTTGAAACAGTGTTCTGCCAAAGTATTTTCAGTCTTGTTTTTTTGCTGCTGTTTGTACATGGGGCTTTGATCACCACAGCCTAAGTGCTCTAGTCTGAATTAGCACAGGTTTTTCTCTTTTCAGTCGTACTGTGCCAACAAAAACGGAGCCCTTTTATCTCGTCTGTCTCTCAGAATCAATACACCTATTTCCACAGAGACCACATGACTGAAATTTGGAAGACCTGAATTCTCTGCTGGGGTCTGCTGTTTGCCTTCTGGGTCATCCCGAGCTAGCATCTTGTCTTAGAGCCTCCATCTATAGAATGTAGATAATTGTAATGAATTCTTTACAACGTGGCTCGAGAAGTGCTGATGAAAAGCCGTCTGTAAGAACTGAGGAGGATGATTGCTGTTGTTGGGGAATCCGACAGTTCTACAAAAAACACACCTGGAATGAGCATGCAGAAATTAAGAAGAGATTTATTTCTAATGTCTTGCTTCATGCTAGCTAAAGAAAATCCTGTTCTGATCTTATTTTCACTGTGATTTTTTTTGCTCAGGTTTCTACAGGATCGAAACAGTTCTGCTTTCAAATTTTACCGAATGAAAGTCTATGAGTTATGTCCATCTATTAACTTCAGTGCTGTGTCAGAAGCGACTGATGCTGGGGAAAGTGCTAAACGTGAAGAGAGAAATTTGGATGTTTCAGAAGAGGAGGAGGAGGAAGAAGAAGAAGAGGAAGAAGACAATGAGGAGGAAGCTGAGTTTGAGGAGGATATCTCCCAGCCTTTGGAAGAAATGGAAATGGAGCAAGCAGAGGAGGGAGAAGAGGATGACGTGTCAGCAGGTAGAAGTGTGGAAAACCTAGCTGAAGAGATGGTTTCCAAAACAGGAGAGGAAATTTCAGCAGGTGAAATGCAGCTAGCCACATCATCTGATGGTCCTATACCAAATCTGTCGACACAGGCATCAACTCCTGCTCCTGGCGCCCTATTTCCTCGCAAACGAATCAGCAGCAAGTCTCTGAAAGTTGGTATGATTCCTGCATCTAAAAGGATTTGCCTCATAGAAGAACCAAAAGGTGAGTGTTCCTTAAACGGTGTTTTGTGGGTATCGGTACAGAATTCCTGATTTTTATGTACTTTGTTACTGGCTAAAAGAATTAACATTTCTCTAATACAGCAATTAATACAATGCTCACTTCAAAGGCTCATTCAGCTGACAAAGGAGAGTCTCAATCAGTTGTGTAACGGTTTTGGTATTACAGTGCAATGCAAAGTTTGCGTCAAACGTCATTCCTCAGATATTCTCTAAGTGCACGCGGACGTTATCCTCTCTCTGCTGCTTAAAACTTAGTCATTTTTGCAGGGTTTATTTTATCAGTGTATAGAGGGTTTAACAGCACTGAACGTATTTTGCGTGTCTGGCTAAATATATTTAGACTTTGGATTGGCCTGTCAAATTTTGTCAGTATGGCCAGAGCAGGGGTAGGTCATGATATTCTAAGAACTGAGAGATAAGTAGCTTAAAACTGATTATATGTGCTCTGCATCCACTTTAACAAATGTCTTGTCTTTGCATAATGTTTTTTATTGGTGAAGGTTGTCCTTTCTGATATCAAAATGATATACAATAACCTCATTTAAGTCCAGTCTGAATTTTCTATCAAGAGTATTACAGAAGCTCAGGGAAATGGAAGATCTAAAATCCTTATAGTGTATCATCCATCAGCGTATTGCTGGCATGATCTGTCCAAAACTAAGTACCTGCGTGTACCAAGGCCCTTTTTTGTGGTGGAGGGGAAAAAAGGTCTTGCCGTTTCTTTGCTCTTTGTGATCTCTCCTGTTGGTTCTGGTTTTAGGCCAAGGCATTGAGTGAGTCGCACTTGGGATGTACTTTCACAGTTGTGTATTGAAATAGTTTCCCTTTACAGCTGAATCTTGTCTTTGATTTGACTTGCAGTGCATGAACCTGTCAGAATTGCTTATGATAGGCCTCGTGGTTGCCCAGTCACAAAGAAGAAGAAGGTAAAGAACTCTTCTGGTTTGCCATTGCATTCTGAGAATCAGCTGCCTTTACAAGAGACGCCTCTGAAAAGGTGTCATTGTCATAAAATCGAATTAAAACCTGAAGAGCCTGATCCTGAAAGACTGGACTAAATCTTAGGAGAGCTGTGGCTCCTGTGGTCTTTTAACTACTTGTGTCAAAATCAAACATTCTATGATTAGAGCACTGCTGAAAAGCTGTGTGTTAATCTTGTCTTCTGTTTTTTTAAAAAAAAAAAAGAAAGAAATCAGTGCATCGCTGTCTGGAAAATATGTTGTGATTTTTCCAAAATTGATGAGATGATCTTTGACTGCTTCTGCATTTGTAATTGGGATTCGGTCACCAGATCATTCAATATTTGTTATTAAAAACCATAACTACCTTTTAAAATACGAAGGTGTATCTTTGGTATTTTAATAATGTAATTAAACAGTTTGAGAACCTGAAATATGGTTTGGTTTTTTTTTTTAAACTGGCAAGGCAGGTATTTACTCTTTGATAGACTTTTTCTGTGTAGCTGCTTAGAAGATATTTCTGTATATCTGGAAATTCAAACACGCTTGGTTTGGGAGAGGGGTGGGGGGAGGCACAAGATTGAGGCATTTTTAATACATGAGCTCCCTGTATAACAAAAAACCCTTTGTTTTTCTGTCTTTTTCCTCTCCATAGAAACCAAAAGACTTAGAATTTTCACACAAGAAACTGACAAACAGGAACGTGGGTTTCCAGATGCTTCAGAAGATGGGCTGGCAAGAAGGACATGGCCTTGGTACACGAGGAAAAGGAATCAGAGAGCCCGTAAAAGTGTATGTAATGGGAACACACTACAGAAATCTGACAGCTCTGGAAAAGGCTGGGATTCTGATAGTAACTATGTTTATCTGACCCACCTAGATGTGGCCAGCTCAGTGGTTTGTTTCCTTCTTGGCGCTGGCCTCGGCCACAGCAGAGTGTGGACACTTCATGCGTTTTTCTGACCAGGTCTGGTCAGGAAGGTGGCTGTTTCTTGCCAGCCAGTTTGACATCACTGAAGGCTGCAGCGTGAATGCTGCAGTGGGAGGACACTTTCTGGAGATACATGGGTGCCCCTGTTCTTCAGGAGGTGGTTTTTTTGCTGTTTAGTGTCTATAGGGGTTTTTAACACATAGTGTTATCCTGGGAATCTCCTTGCTACCACGTCAGGTACCTCATATGTAAATAGACCTTAGGAATACCGTACACAGTACTCCTAGGTTTAGGCGTTTTATTTTCACTCTAATTATGTGATTCGTTCCACTGCATACTGAAAGAGGTAAGTACGTCTGCCAGAAGGTAAGTCTGCTTTTTCCTTTAAAATTTGCTTTTGGGTCTGAATCTTCATTTTGTCTTTTAAAGTTGCTGTATCCAGTGTCCACTGCTGCCAGCACGGAGAATGATAACCCGTCCTTCAGCTCCCTGACTGATTAAGGAGGCAGAAACTATTTATTTCTCTCTGAACCCGTATAACAAACTTTCTAGTCCACACACGTAGTCTGTGATTTAACAGTCTTCTTTCTCCAGGGACTTCTGTGTTCTCTTCGTGCCTTGGACAGTACTGGTCATTTTAGTTGGTGGGATCCTTCTGGGTGTTTGCTTTCTTCTTTCCTTAGTGCTCCCTGTGGTCCAGTGGCCGTCACTATTTTTTCTGTATTTCCTTTAGCAGCAAACGGACAACGAGAAAGCAGTTTGCTTTGCCTCCAGCTCGGTGCTCACCGGTGTTAACCTTGGTTCTCAACCTCAAAACTTGCTGTGACCAAATCTAGGAGTAATTTTTTGTGTGTTTCTGTAGCTCCTGGCACGAGTTTCACGGCACTAATCACGAGCCATTTAACTGTATCTGGTCTGACAGTTAGCCCACCATGTTCTAAAAGTTTCTGGCCACCTTTCAGAACTCCGCTTGTAATATGTGAAAATAGAGGTTTTCCAGCTTCAGTCCATTGCTGTATCACGCTTGTAAAGACACCTGCAAAGGGAAGAGCTGCTTTCTGTGCCTCTTACAAAAACTTGTTGACCTTTTCTGTAATGTAGACAGACTCCGTAGTACTGATCATTTTCATGGCGTGCACCTCTTTACTTTCCCATCAAAGTCAGTCTTTGGGACAATCTCAGTGAGGATGAAACCAGGGCAATTTAACACTTTGCTTTCTCTTGTTAGTTGCTTTGATACAGTGCAGGGTTTTGGGGTTTATTTTATTTAGTAATCTGTAGCCTCTACTCTTTCCTCCCCGTTTGAAAACTACCAGCTCTTCTATTGATGACTTGTTGAAAAGTCCCTGTCCTGTCTAATCTCATCCTCTGGGATGGATTAAAAATTGGAGGGACTCCAATTCCAGTGTAGAGCATACCTTGATCGTTAGAGAGCACTGATATCTAAACTGATGTGTTCAGGCACATCAGTTGTTACACTAAGAAACTTGAGGCCCTTTTTTGTTAGGAAAGGTTAAAGCTTGGCTTCGGCTGGGAGAGCACGTCATATTTGGAGGTTTGAGGAGATTTTTATTTATATTACCATAAAAGATACGTGAATTGCCTGGTGACTCCTCATGGAAAGTTTCATTTAGGCTCTCAAAGGCAGAACATTGTTATGGATAGACCCTCCTCTAAGTAATTATCTCATGTCTTTCATTACTTTTTTTTTTTATTCTGAAAGTAATCTAGAAGAGGAACTGTGGTGTAAGTAGGGGAAAAAAAAAATCTGTTCTTTCTGTTTGGACGTGTGAAGCAGCCATTGTGTAATGGAAACAGCAAATGAATGAGAGTCTGCTTCAAACAGGCCATACAATAAAAGATGGAAAAAAAATTACAGTTTTGGGAGGTCTTTTAGGTGACTTTACTTTTAACTGTAATTTAAAACGTAACTTGACTTGATCGTACACCTGCCAAGTCAGACTCTGTACCATTCAGAAGAAAAACCAGCACCCAGGGTTTCTACTGTGGGCTGTAAAGTTGAATTTCCTTTTCAAAGTCTGTGAATATTCGTGTAGAATTGCACAACAATCTACTTGGCTTAAGCAGACCTATTATTATAGAAATTGGGTAAGAATAATTTTTCTTTATTCTACTTAAAGTCCCCAGATTTTACCCTGATAGCACAGCCATCCCAGTTTCAGTACACGGGGCAATTTAAAGTTTCTTACTTCACGTAATGAAATCTTTAACAGATAATACTGATGTAACTGACCTGGAGGATAAAACTGGCACAGAAGATCATTCCTGTGGCAGAGGTTGCATTAATCTGAGCTTTGTAATGTCTCCATTCTACGAACGTAGCCTGGAGAAAGAGATGGTTTTTAATTATTTGTATCTCTGCATTCCTGTGGGTCATCCTCTCCGTCTACTTCCAGGGCAGAAAGTTGTTTTGTTATTGTTGAGGCCTGTCTGCTTCTGTTGGCGTGTTTGGATGAGGAGAGATGAGTTAATGTCTCCTTTTTCTTGGAAGGGGCAGGAGCTCCGGGTTTTGTCTATGGTGTGTGTCCTACATGACTTCAGCTTGCTTTGGGTGCTAGAAATTTTAAGCAGCATTTATGTTCCCTTGGTAAAAAATTTCATCTTTCCTCCAGAGTTGTGTGGTGTTTCCTACTCATTCCTCAAAGTCTCTGACTTCTGTCATTTTTGAAATGTAAGAAACTGTCGTGGTTTAAACCCAGCCGGCAGCCAAACACCGTGCAGCCGCTCGCTCGCTGAATGATCCTTTCAGAAGGGCAGATCCCGTACTGAATCCAAACCACAGCACTATTCCAGCCACTGAGGAGCAAAAATTAGCTCTATCCCAGCTGAAACCAGGACAGAAACAAGGCAATTTTTGCCATCTTTCCAACAGAGGATCCTGTCTATCGTGAATAAAGTGGTTGACATTCATGTACGAGTTTGATCTGTTAGATGACTGTATCTTCACTGCTTAATACCATAGGAGTGTTTTCTTCTGGTGGGTATTTGCATGTGTAGTGGGAGGTGGGAATTGTTTTGTAGCTGATCTGGTATGCCAGGTACCGAGCCTCCGCTCCCCTTCTCCCCTAAATGAAGCAAAATTACTTTCCACTTGAATTGTGTCTGTGTTGGAAGCTATTGTTTTGATCTCTTCTGCACATTGTCAAATGTAACAGAAACGGAGTGTTCTAACTATTCATTTTACTCCCTAGGGGTGCTACCTCTGCAGGGGAGGGCTTGGGTGTTGCAGGGGAAGAAAATAAAGAAGATGCATTTGATGTTTTCCGTCAAAGAATGATACAAATGTACAGGCAGAAAAGAGCAAGTAAATAGGTATGTGCAATGGACACGTCTGGTTTCTGAATTCCTGCAAACATTAAAATACCAGGGCTTTTTAAGTCTTCCTTTACCAAGAAAATATTACTGTTTCCATGAGTATATCTGGCTTCTTAACATTTCGTGAGAATCCAGACCTACGTTGAACTGCTTTGAACTGCTGAATTACCCCAAATCTTACTTTTTAGGTTTGACATAAGAGACTCGCTTACTAGAAAGTGCACGGATATGCAAAGGCTGCTGTGTGAAAGATCTTCGGCCAGAGTATGCCAGTATGAAGAACACTTTGTTCTGTAGTAGTGGACTTGAATACTAATGTAGTAAAACATTTTCCAAGATAAAAGTTAGTCTTGTATTTAGCGGTGCAAGCTAACAACTTGGATGCCATCTTCTGAGGAAGAAACAACTGATTTTGTTCTCGGAAGTGCCTGTTTACCTCTCTCTTTGGCCAAGTTTGCCTGTTTTGTGATGAGATGGCTTACCAAAAAATGGAATAAGCACCATGAAAAATATGACTAGCCTGGTGTGGCTCTGATCCTTTCTGAAGCCAAGAATCTTCTCAAATTCAGATCTTCTCGCAAGGCAGTTCAGATTTTATTTCACTACAGTTTATTGGTGGGCTAATCTTCTGATCTACTTCTGGAGTCTGCATAAGGCAGCTTCCTTTCCTCCATACGCTAATTTTAAGAAGAGTTTCTACCTATAGGATTCTAGACTTTAAGTGTAGGATGAATAACTGAGTTCATCTGAGTCTGAGAACACTAAATTCTTCCTTGAAAACCTCGGCTGCTAAGGCTTTTCATTGTAATAAACAAGTAGTACATATTTTAAGTGTACTTTTTGTTTTTACACAAATTTGTAGCTCTTCTCCAACAAATTCTTGAATAATTTCTTTCCTTCTCAGAGAAGTTTAAGCCATGAGCAGGGGCAGAAAGTACCGAAGAAAACACTTGGAAGTCAGATACTTGGAAGTCATCTGGAAGTGGATCATCAGTTTTGTAAGACCATCAGATTAGAGAGTCATTTCTGTTTCTGTTAAATGTTTGCTTTGCAGAAGTTCTCTTGTTGAAAAAGCCCCCCCCCCTCAAAAAAAAGACAAAAAGCTTGTACTTTCAAGGGACTATTCCAGAACTTACTGAAAGAGAAGACTGGATTAATCCGTGCTTCAACAAAAGGCATTACCTAACTGCTTGGTGAAGCAGCTCTGAAGACATGAGAGATTTAGCAGTGTTCCACCAATAAACCTTCAAGGTCTGATCATTCATCTCTTCCGACTCGCACATCAATAAGGGACCTGTGACTGGATTACTGAAAGTGACAGCACTTCATGTTGCACTTTTTAGTGTACTCGTTCTCCATCATTACCTTTCTAAAAATGAGTCAGAAGTCTTCACTTGAACGTTGTAGTACTGAAACCTACTTCACTAAAGTTCTCTTTAAAGAGTTGATCTTGAGCTGACGCATGTTTTGCTTACTAGCAGTGAGTGCTGTCTTGCTGACGTTTCCATCCTGCGCCATGCTTCTTGTAGAGCAAAGAGCTTGTGGTGCACCACTAATCGCGCCCCACAGTAACGTGGCGGCATCTCAAGTTCCGAACTGACAAATATGCGAGAAAATGCCTTCTTCGGTTATCAGCTTGCCTGTGCCTGCTGTTGAAAGAACCACGTGATATTCTTTCTCCATTAAAACCCCTGCTGGTTGAAAGGGAGTGTCTTCATTTTCATTCTATAGGAACAAACTTTTCCTTGCTTGTAACAACCAGGTTTAGTTTGTGAATGCTGGTTTGGGTTTTTTTTTTCTTTCCATATGGGTCTTTGAAACCATGAGAAACAAAATCATGTCACAGTGTAATTTTCCGATCGCTCAGTTTTAGTTGCCTTGAAGCACATAATCACTAAATAAAACCATGATGGCAGATATAGAAAAATATGCTGGTAGTTCTGTTTTTCCATGAACATCCCATGTGTCTTCACCTTTACATGAGGAGAAGTTGAAGCACGAAGGCTATAAACACAAATACGTTTATCTGGATATCACACTTGGTTAAAGACATTTGATAGCCCAGACGTTTCTCGTAGGCTTTACTTAAAACCTTTCGAGGTCCCTTCCAACCCCTGACATTCTGTGATTCTGGGAAACGTTTTGGACCACAGGCTGCTTGAAAGGTCATTGATTACAGTATTGGGCAGTGTATGCTCACCTGTTAAGTTCCTATTTGGGGGTGGTTTTCACTGCTCCTCTTTCCTTCCTGTGCCTAACTAGCAGTTACACGGTGTAAACCTTGAGCTGTTCGAAAAGGAGATCTGTCAGTCACAGTCTGCTTTAGAGTGACACTTTGGAACCACCACTGTTGGCCTCTTGATTTATTTCTCAGACCCGCTCAAAAGGGTTTAGCTTTTCTTTTAGTTTCATTGATGAAGCTGCCGGTGTTGCTGCTCACAATTTGTATTTCCCTGCAAACTTCCAGTTCACCTCTTCTTTCACGTTCACAGTTTGGAAGGGTTCTTGATCCTAGGTTACACCGTTTGCAGAAAGGCACAAGGCGAAGTGGAGTTTCACACTAGATTGCAGTCCACTCTCAGACCCAGATCAGCATTCTGCGCTGCTCTGACTTAACCCCGGTTTGCTGAGCCTGGCACCGTTGGGGGTGCGTGTGCCCGACACCCGCTTACCCAGTCGGGGAGAACTGTCGGTATCCAGATTGGAAAATGGTACCGTCCTTTCTGAGTGCAATTCGGTTTAGAGTATAATGCTGCCTTGAGAATAAAGGTGAACGTTGGGAAAATCTTAATCTGCTCCCCTGGACGACTGTAGTGTGGTCTGTCTTTCTTGTGCCAAACTTTAATTTTGGACAAGATCGCAGCAGAGCAGTCCTGGTGCTGAGATTCCAGCGTTGCTCTCAAGTGGGTTACCGTTTGCCCCTTTTATCTTGTTTTACCAAGAGATGACCTTACGTTCCTTTTGCAAAAGGAATTTCCTTTTAGTTTGACCTGCTTTTGCAGGCAGCTCTGATTGGAAAATTTTAAATACTTGTACATGTGAAACATTTGTTATGCAGATGCATTGCCTTGTTTAAGTTTACTAGCTTCTTTTCTGTTATTTTAGTTCCAGGCTCTCTTCCATGAAGACTGCAAGCTTCAGTGAACATTTTAACTAACTTCAGTGGTGTGTCTACTGTCTTTTGGTTGGTTTTTGCCATTAATCTTGTAGAGCAAGTTGCTAGTTTCTGTTCCGTGCAAACTGGCAGTAGTGCTAAGCTAGTAACAATTAGATGCTTATGTTATTGGATAACTGACATTTCTTTTTAGTGTAAGTAAACATGTTAGCATTGTTAATCTTTTAATATCTGCAATAAATGTAGAACTAAACAATTTCTGGTTTAAATGTTTTGCTTGTGAATTTGGCCATTTGTGAGAGATATGCATCATTTTGGCACTAACAAGTGGAATTGAGATTATGCAGTGTGATATTAGTGTAAAGCAGGATTTTATAGTGTACGAGGGAAGGAAGGTCCCTCTGTTTCTGTGCTGCTAAATGTCTCTGTTGAGAATACCCACTAAATCATTTCTTGGTTACTTTTTCATGTGGCTTGTAGTGCATTAAATCCGTACACAACAGTGTTACTTCCCACATGAACGCCAAAACCGTTGTGCCCCAGTCAGAATGCAAGAGTTTCACCCTTTGTTCCCGTAGCCCAGGACTTAGTTGTCTCTCTTGATTTTCTCAGTGTACTGACTTTAAAACGGCAAAACTTTTTCTTTACATATGTGTGTGGTTTACTGTTGCCTTTAAATTCAAATTCCTTTTTTAGACAGGAGATGAGGGGGAAAATTGCAACGAACTGAAATTTAACACTTGAGCAGCCGCCTTCTATCGAGAGGTAAAGTGAGAGTGTTCATTTGTGAGAGATCCCAGCCAGGTCTCCTGTACCTTGCCTTCATACTGACAGCTAGGAAAGGCTTTACAGAGGCAAGTTCAAGCCCTGGCTACACCTTTTTTCCTCCTTTTCCTTCAAAAATTTATTATATGTAAGGACCTGGTTATAGAAGAAATGACATTTGCTCTCGTTGGAGAGAAATGAGGAGATCCCCATTTTGGGGGAGGTGCCCTAACAGCGTAAGACAACTACAGTCAATAACACACTGCTGAAGTAATTGTGTTGGACTAATAGAGATGTTTTGGGGTTTTTTTGCCTTTAAAGGTTTTTTTTTTTTGGTGTAATACCAATGACATTCTTCCTATTTATTTTTTGGTTTTTTTAGAAGACACTACAGCATCCTTAGTGTGAACACTTGATCTGTGCTGAGACAGTATTTCTCAAAATCAATGTACAGTATTTTTTTCTATTGATATTCCATTCTGCTTTAAAGTTAATCCTAATGTATTGTGCCCAGAGAAAGTCTGGACTCAGAAATTCAAATGTTATTTTGGATTGTTTTCTATCCTACAAGCAGGTCTATTTTCTAATTAAAAATGAATTCCTGAAAGTCCTCTCTCATCTTTAATTCTGCATATCTCATGACTGAGTGGCCAATCACAACCAGACTGTAGATTTGAGCAATAATAAACACCTTAAATGAGAATATGCTCAAAGAACAATAGGGTACTTCTGAAATAAATAGTTTTTGTGAACCTTGTTAAGTAGGTAACTTGCTGAATTGCAGCAAGTGTGGAAAATGTTTGCATTATCTGTGGGCAATAAAGTTACTGCTGTTTAAGAAAGCGCTAGCACACAGTGTGTTCTCTTCAGCTTTTTGTGCCTAATTCATGTCATTAGAAGGTCGTGCTAATTTCCTTGAAAATTATTTCCTAGGCAAGGCTGTGCTTTGAAGGGGAAGTCGTATTTTGTTATCCTGCCACTAGGCAATAAAGCAATGGTAAGGCAGCAAATACAAAGCAGTCAAAGCTAATTTTTAAAACATCTGCCTCTTTGGCAGAAGTTCCTTATAAACTGTTTGATTTGTGGGGTTAACAGAAGTTCTGTCTTTGAACAGTTT